CAGAAAGATATGTGTTTTTGAAAAATCTATAGGTTTTTCTGTTTTTGATTGTAAAATGAACTTGATTAAATGTAATAAAGAGTCTAATTTATAAATTCGAATCATCTGTTTCTTTCCAGCGATTGTAATCATAATCCCATATTCATCTAATATTTGCATTTTTTTAAAAGAGCAACCTCGGATCAATGGTGTTGGTTTAATCAATTCAGAATTAATAGAAAAATCGATTACATTCAGCCCATTTTCATTGCCGATAAGAAGATATTGTTTTCCAAACATTGCCGCGCATGTCATCTTTTCTATCGATCCGGAATTAGGAGAGCCAAGAAGCTTACTCTCAAATTCTCCCATGTTCGCTGACGCCCCTTTTCTATTTTCATAGTTAACAATAGTACTAGAACGTTGTAAATTTGTTGTAACATTTAACTATATCAAACGAAGAAAAAAAAAAAAAAAAAAAAAACAGAAAATCAAATTTATTTATTTCTTTTTTATACTCTTTATAATTTTCAGTTAATTGTTAAAATTAAAGAAAAAAAAAAATAATGATAATAAAATAATAATACCCATTCTCTAAAATTGAGAATAAACACACCTTATTAGATTCTCTATCCAATCCAGAACGTCCAGAAATCGTGTTTGATCTTGTTATCGTATCGTCATTACTGCTAGGGCGAGCGTTGAATTGAGTTTTTGATAAAACGTTCTCACCTTCAATCAACAATCGTGATACAATTCTTTTTCCAATGTGCTGATTTTTACTTGGAAGTGGAAGTGCGACTAAACTTTCTGAAGAATCATTTCTTTGAAAATTTGAGTAAAGAGAACTATTCTTATTATCATGTAAAGGTTCGCTTAACTCTGTTTTATTTTGCATGGTTTTTTTTTTAATTTATAAATTTTAAAAATTTAAAAATTTATAAATTTAAAAAAACAAAATATTTCCCTTTACTATAAATAAAAGAAAATTTTTATTTCGAATGAATTTTTTTTTTTTTTAAAAAAATATTTAAAAAAAGATAAGGAGAAAATTAGAAAATTCCATAAAAAAATGATAACTACCTAATATGGTAAAATTTATCTTGTAATGTTTCTATTAATAACAAAGTTAAAATATTTGTGTTCAATTAAAGCGATCCTTATTTGTAGCGTTTTTTAATTATCATTATACTGTGGTATTACTGCGTGCGTCATAATTACCACATCAATTAGTTTGTAAAATTTTTAAGAGGCTGGTAATTTAAATTCTGGAAGAAAAGTCTTTTTAAACTTTAATTTGGAAAGGTGTAAACTTTTATGTAAAACGCTTTAAATGCTTGTATAAAAAACATGAATCAAACCTAATCAAAGAATCGCTTAAAAAAAATTATTAAAAAAAAAAAATTTTTTTATATATATCTTCTGAAGATTTCAAGATTCTGCATTCACAACCTTTTATTTATTGAAATGTCATATCGTCTTGACACAAGATGTTGTTAAAGTCGCACTGTAAGCATGTGTGTTCCTCAAACCATAACAAAGTATACGAATTTCGGAATGCAAAAACTTGTGCTTGTTTTTTTTTTTGTATTTAAAGGATTTCATTTGACCAAAAAGGAAAAGTTTTATACCTTTTCGGATCAATAAGGATATCTTTTTCTTATTTCGGAGAACGGATTCCGTAAAAACAAATTATAAATTGATCAATTATATGAATAATTCTTTCCTCTAAATCCCTAATCCTACACCTAATATCAAATTAGTACAAAGATGTCTAATAACTTGAATAATCCTGGCACTCCTAGAACTCCTGGGAGAGCTAGAGGAAGAGAATTTAGGCCAAGAGAACCCTATACACATCGTTTACGTAAAATTCTTGAAGAATATCCCGATGGTTCACAAGTTCTTCGTGAAATCCTCCAGAATTCTGACGATGCAAAAAGCACTGAACAAGTTTTCATTTTGGATCATAATACTTATCCATCAGATAGTCTATTTGAACCCGACCTGGAGAATAATTATCAAAGGACGAGTTTGAAACTTGACAGATATCAAGGTCCTGCATTATTGGCAAAAAATAATACCATTTTTGAAGAGAGAGATTTTCAATCTTTGTTGAAATTGGCTGATAGTGAAAAACGTGATCAATTTGATAAGATCGGAGGTAAAGTAATTTTTACGCTGCAGCTAATTTTCACGTTATGAATTTTATCGCAAATCTCTAATGTCATATATCTTCAATCTAAATTTTAGTAATGGGCGTCGGTTTTAATTCAATTTATCATATTACCGATTCTCCTTCTTTTATTACTGGTGATAATTACGTTATTCTTGACCCACATGAATGGTACTTTGGTGGTGGAGTTCAATTCGACTTTGTCGGAGAAAAGTTGGCCGAATCACATCCTGATCAATTTGCTCCTTTTGGAATGCCGTGCGACAAATTATATGAAGGAACTGTATTTCGTTACCCTCTTCGTACTGAAGAAGATTCTATTGATTCGAACATTTCCAAAAAAGTTTATAAATCTGACGAGATTTTGGAAATGTTTCATAAATTTTACGAGAATGAAAGTATAAATTGCTTACTATTTTTAAAATATATCGAACGCATTTCTTTTTATGAATTAAAAGAAGGTGCTACTGAACCCGAATTATTATATGAAATTAAATTGGAAAATGCCGATAAAATTCGAGAAAACCGTCGGTTGATAGTGGAAAACATCGTACCAATGATGGGTTTATTAAAATCACGAGAACTTAAAGGCAATAATCAATTAGATACGCTTTACATTGCGTCATTTTGTCGTCAAACAAGTGTTTCCAAAGAGAATAGCTCATGGTTAATTCTTAATTATCTTGATGACTTACTTGAAACCGAAACATATTTTCAAGAGAAGTTCAGAAGAAATATAGGAGATTACAAGTTCATCCCTAACGTTGGTTTAGCCGTTCCCCTAAATGATTTGAGGGCTACGGGAAGATTATTTTGCTTTCTACCCCTTCCAATTTCTATGCCTTTTCTCATTTCCGTGCATGGATATTTCGCGGTAAGAATGAAATCTTAATACTATTGTTGCATTATTTTGAATTTTTAAAATAATATACAAATTTGTTTAATTTGTTTAACAGGTTAGTAATAATCGTCGTTCTTTATGGTCGGCTGCAGACAACGAAGACTTGGTAATTGAACTATATATATATACTGTATATTGCTGCTGTATTTATTGTATGCTAAAAAAAAAAAAATTTTTTTTATTGATCAATTGAATATCGAATGTCAAATTATAGGCGGTGGATGCGTTAGCTAGCCTAAAAGTTTCATGGAATAGATATTTATTTGAAATTGTCTTACCAAAGGCTTGGGCGAAATTTCTTCGTGAGCTCCCGCTTAAAATTCCTAAAATTAGATCCGATGATATATATAAATTTTGGCCAATAGTTAGAGGAGATACATCAGGTAGCATAGGTAAATTTTGCAAGGATCTGTTGCAGAATGTTGTAGAAAATCTTGATGTTGAGGATCGTGTATTCAAAGGACCTCCTTCTTCATATGATATTGGAACAGTATCTGAAGTTCCAGCAAATTTATATGATACACATTTATTCAAAGAATCCGAATTTCATTGGTTATCAATTTCTAATGGATATTTGGAAGATGAGAAGGTGTATAACGATTTACCTAAAATAATTGGTACTATTGGATTTCCAGTTATATCAACATCTTTTAACATAATTAAAGCCTTGAAAGATTCTAGGCATAAAGATTTTCTTAAAAACTTTTCTCCGGCCATTATTCGAACTTATTTGAATGTTAATTGTGATAGATGGCAAGATATACCAAGGAATCAAATCTTATTGTTACTTGAGTATGTGTTGGACAAAAATTTTGACGAATTGGAAGGTTTTAAAATGATTCCGCTTGCGGATGGCACGTTTGGTACTTTAACGAAACATAGCAATTCTTACGTATATATTGGTCCAAATGATTACATTGTAAATATTGTAAATGTTGATGAACTCAACACCTTCGAAAATCAGAAATACAAATTTATCGACAAAACGATTGATGGAAGATTGTATAAAAGGTTGTACGATTGTGTGTCAACTACTGAATGGAATCTAAACATTAAAATCCTGAACGAATCCGCTATTGTCGATATGATTAAATGTTCAT